TGTGTAGGGAGCAGCCTGTGGCCGCTGCAGGCAGGGGAGGGTCCCCTGCTGATTGCTTTGTTTTCTCCTGGGTAGATCTGTATCTTCGTTGGGGAGACACTGCTGTTTTCCAACTGGGCCATCACCGCCGACATCCTCATGGTGAGCCAGGCAGGCGGAGGTCACCTTGTGCAGCTGACCCAGGCGTCGACCTCACAGGGGCGGCTGGGAAGGGCGGGTGAAGGGGTGGGAGAGCTGGCAGGTCTGCCAGGAAGGTGAAGCCAGAGGCAGGGAGGGGATCAGAGTTTGGGGTCTGCGTCTGGGCAGGGCCAGGAAGCAGAGGGCTGGGCAGGCAGAGTGAGATGTGGGGACCGGGTGGGGAGGGGTGTCTCGAGGCTCAGGTTAATGTCTGGGAGGCTGGTAGTGCCAGGCTGGCACCAAGGTACTGCTGCCTGCCAGCACTCCTCCCCCCGGGTCTGAGTGTTCACGGGCTCTGCCCCTCCTTGCTCAGCCTGGCTCCCAGGCGCGCCTGCCCGAGTGCCTGTGGCTGGGGCTGGTGGACAGAGGCCGTCTTCACGGGGCCAACAATGGGCTCCAGACCAGCCGGCTGGGGACAAAGGGCCGTCTGAGTGGCCAGCAGGGGCTTGTGTCCCTGGGTGGGGATGGGAGCACCCTGGGAGGAGCCAGGAGGGGGCTAGGAATTCGTGGCCATCTGGCGGTGGCAGGGGTGTGACACTTGGTCCCATGCCCAGGGATCAGCCTGGCAAGGGTCAGCAGGGGATAGGGGAGTGTGTCTGGGAGGTGTCAGGGCAGGCTCTGGGGAAGACAGAGGAAGGACCCATGGGTGGACCTTCAGGGTGCTCCGGATCGGGTGCCCAGCATGGGACAGCCCAGGAGATAAGTCTGCCAGGCACCGAGGCCCCTGCTGTCTCCTGTGCTTTGGGAAGCCTGCCTTGCCCACCCTGAGCCTCCTGGCATATCTGCTTCCCCTGGGCTGTCTCTCTCTGTCCTCCTGAGTCCCTGGGCTAGGGTGGTGGTGGGGAGGTCTGATGCAGCTTTGAGCCTCAGCACAGAGCCAGGCAGTGGCAGGGGTGGGCTGGGGTTGCTGCCCAGGCCCAACATGAAGGGAGGAGTGAGTCTGTGCAGATCAAGTGCCCTTGGTGCTGGTCAGGACCCCTCCTCCCCTCCTCCACCACCCCCGGGGGAGCCCCTGGTGGCTGCCGGCAGGGTCAGGGTCCCAGGGAAATTGTGTCCCAGTTTATTCAGTGTCAGTTTTCTCCTGCTGGAAACGAGGCCACTCCGTTTAACCAGATTCAGGCCTTTTTCCATCAGCCCCCACCTCTCCTGCAATGGGATGCCCATGGGTGCTGGCTGCTGATGCCCACTAAGGCTGGCACTCCGAAGAGGTGAGGCAGCTGGAGCTCAGGGCACAGGGGCTCAGGGCACCCATAGAGCTGGCCATGCCTGTCCCACCCCCGCCCCAGCCCCTCCTGACTCTGGCCTGCCCAGCTTTGAAGTGCGCCTCCTGTGGCTCGGGCCTGCTTGGTCTGATCGGGGCCTGGGGCCCAGCAGTACCTGGCACTCAGTGCTGAGGGGCCCACGGGTGTGAGCAGAGGCTCTTCCAGGCAGGGCCCTGCCTCACCAGCTCCCGACCCAGGCTTCAGGCCTTACTTGGTCCTCAAGGAGGGGAACTAAGATGGGTCTTTAGCTTGATGGGAGTGAGGACAAATGGCCCTAGCTGGGGTTCAGGTTCCCCTGGAACATGTGCCTCTCTGGGCCTCAGTGTCCCCATGACTATGGGCCAAGGGCAGAAGCCACGGCAGCCTGGTCTCAGGAACAGAGCAGGAGCCGAGCAGGGGAGGTGGCAGCATGGCCATTCCCAATGGCTCAGGTCCTGTGAGGCTCAGAGGGCTCTGGGCTAATGGCCTCTAGTGACTGGCACCTGGGCAGCCCCCAAATTGCCTTCCCTCAGCTGCAGGTAGCTGGGAGGGAGGTGAAGATTCCCATTTCTGAGGGGCGTCCCAGGGGCACAGCAGGTTTGAGGATGACGCTTTCAATCTGGGGCAGGTGGCACTGGTCTGGGCTGGAGGTGGGGAAGCGCCTGGGGCTAAGGGGGTGACTGAAACTGTGTGTGGGTAGAGGGGCTCAGGGAGCAGAGGGATGGCTGGCGGGAAAAAGCGGCCAGGCTGGTGCAGGGGAGGGCAAGGTCCAGGGGAGACAGGAATGAGTCTGAGGGTATGGGACTTCGGAGGTGCCAGGCACTGGGCTGGGGCTGGCTCCTTGGGCCGCTGACCTGCCTGCCTCTCCCGTAGTACGTGGTCATCCCTACCCGGCGCGCCTCGGCTGTGGCCTTGCAAAGCTTCACCTCCCACCTGCTGGGGGACGCCGGGAGCCCCTACCTCATCGGCTTTGTGAGTCACCCTGGGCGGGGGCTGGCCTGGGGAGGCTGGAGGCTTTGGAGGCTGTGCCCTTACACCCACCCCCATGTCCTCGCAGATCTCAGACCTGATCCGCCAGAGCACCAAGGACTCCCCACTCTGGGAGTTCCTGAGCCTGGGCTACGCGCTCATGCTCTGCCCCTTTGTCGTCGTCCTGGGGGGCATGTTCTTCCTCGCCACGGCACTCTTCTTCCTCAGCGACCGTGCCAAGGCTGAGCAGCAGTGAGTGGGGCTGAGGGGAGGCCTGCTGGGGAGCCCTGCTCGGGGGTGGCGGAGGGGAGACCTGGGTGCACCCAGTTGGTGGCCTGGTTGCTGGGGTCCAGTCCCTGGGCCTCCCCGTGCTTGTGGGGCTCAGTGCCAGCATCAGCCTAAAGCTGTAGGGGGCCACAGGGGTGTCTGGTGGGTCCAGGCTTGTACTTGGTGGTTTTCGAAGCTGGGACCCCTCCCCCTTCCTTTTCCTCTCACCTTCTGACTTTTTTCTCCTTTCCTCTTTACTCCTCTCTCTCTCTCTCCTCTCCCTACCCCTGGGCTCTCCCACCTCCCCCTGGGGCTGACGAGGTCCCTGCCCAGCACCTCCGGTCAGCTGGCCCCCACGACGCGATGTGCCAGAGCAGTGCCCGGGCCCGGCCCCTGCTGATGCGCCACCCTGACCCCCGCCCGTCTCTCCCCCAGGGTGAACCAGCTGGTGATGCTGCCCCCAGCTGTGAAAGTCTGAGGTGGTGAGTGCAGGCAGGGAGGCCCTCAGGGAGGGGGAAGGCCAGGGCTAGGTGACAGGGAGCACTCTTCCCCCAGAGTCCCCTCCTGCCCCAGCACCTCCCACCAACCCTGGGCTTGGACTCTGATGTTGCCAGAATTCACTGATGGAGCCATGGGTCAGGGCTCCCACTTCCAGTAAATAGCTCCCCCTTCCTTCCAAGGGCTGGGTGGGGCCTGGCCAGAACTCCCCACTCTATCCGGACTTCCGCCCTCCCGGGTCCTCCTGGATGTACCAGGGCCTGGCTCCTTGGACCTTCCCTGTGGGAGCTAGAGCTTCCCAGCAGCACGAGAACCAGGGTCACAGCCCCAAGCCCAGGGGGAGGCCTGCTGCTCCAACAGCAAGTGGAGGAGGGAGGGCACCCTGGCAGGGGGCCCCACTGAGCCCCGTTTCTGACCTGATGCCCCTTTCCCCAGGTGCCACTGGGACAATGAAGAAACCACACTCCCACCTAGTCTGGAAGGTGTCCTACAGCGTCTGGGACTGCCTGGGCTGCCCACCGGCTTTCTGTGTGATCCTCGGCTAGGCACCCACCCACTCTGGCCGGGGCCTGCTGAGTGGCCCTGGCTTCAGGAAGAGGCGGTGTCCTCAGTCACACTGGAAGGCTGTGTGTGTTGGAGCCGTGAGATTGGACAGATTCCTGGCCCTAGGTTTGGGCTGCCGGGCCCCTGGGGCCAAGGAAGAAGGCAGCCCGAAGTGGGTGTCCGGCAAGAGCCTGGCCTGACACCAGCCTATGTGATCCTGGGCAAGTCCCTGCCCTCCCTGGAACGAAGGGCCAGGGGGCTGGACTTTCCCAGGCAACTTGCTGGGCAAAGCACGATCCACAGCTTTGAAGACTCACCAGGCCCTGGGCCATATGGAGAGGGAACAGCTCAGGCCTCAGGGTGGCAGTCCCAGCTTTGAGGCCCAGGCGAGGGCCGGCATGCAGGACTGCTGCTTCTCAGCTGACCTTGGGGACATCGGATGCAATCTGGCAGATGAAGCTGTGCACCCCCTGGCCGGGCTGGTCTCTCTGGAGGCCACTGTCTATCTCGGGTCGGCTGCTGGCCTGGACTTCCCAGGCGGGGACTGTTCTGACAAACTGAAATTACCAGGGGTGAAGGACCTGGCTGCAGCGGCACAGCACCTGGGCCCCAGGCTCGTGGTCTCGGGGTTCACACACCAGCCCACCTCTGCAGGGCTCCTGGTGGCCCCAGGAATATTTCTGCTGTCTAGCCCTTTCCTGCCACCACCCCGAGCCAGGAACCCATTTCCTCCAGAGGCTGGGCTAGGCCTTGGCCAGGGCTAGGGCCCAGGAGACCATTCCCAGAATCCACAGGGCAGCCGCCAGGGCTCCACTGCTGGAGGAAGCAGCTCTCCACAAAGCTTCCTGCATGGGCTGAGGCGCTGGGAGAGGCTAGCCCCTATCACACAAATGACCCCCGGGGCCAGGCCTTCACTCTGGCTTTGATGACCCAACTCACGCCTGTGCGAATACCAGGATGCAGCTGCCAATGTCACACCAGCCCCAAACTCCTCTGGGGTAGCTCAGCCCCTGTGTCACACACTCCCTGTACATTTGCTGCCATCAAGGCGGTGCTGGCATGGGGGAACCCCAGTGGTAGGAGACCCCGAGAGCTGGCTTGGACAATGCTCTTTCCACCCCTTAGTTACTGGCTAGCTGCGGCTTCAGTGGGTGTAAGCTAGTGGAATACCCACCCACCGAGCTCTGGGGTACCCAGGGAGGCCAGACGAAGGTGGGGTGGTATCCCCCAAAGCCCGGCCTCCACCCCAGCCTCAGCTGGGGCCCCAGCGATGTTTTCTTGTCGTACAAGAACCAGGTCCAAGTGTTGCCTCCTCTTCCTTCCGGAAGCCAAACTGCTCCTTTATTTTTTAGAGCTGCTGATTGTGAATCTCAGAGTCTTAAGAGAGAAGCCAAATATATTCCTCTCATAAATGAAGAAATAAACCTAATTTAAATCACCCCCTGTGGCTCCCTCAGCAAAAAAGCCTGGGGGGGGGGTGTGTGCAAGAGATGGTCACACCTGTACCCAGCATGTCACCCTGTACCCAACCAGGTGAACGCCAGAGACCTGGACCTGGCCCACAGGGCCTTGAAGCCACAGTCCCAGCCTAGAACCAGGGGGGTCTCTGCATCCTGGGACCCCTGCAGGAATGGCTTGGGCTGTGCTTACCAGAGCAGGATGCCTGGGCAGGCAGTGACACCCTCCCTGGGGACAGAGCCTTAGAAGTGGCTTGCATATTCAAATCATGGTGGAAAAACTGGAGTCTTGGGCAGACGGAGGCTGAGGGTGGCCTGCACTCAGGGCTTCCCCGCCTTCCTCAGCTGCGCTTTCTTCTTGGTCCCACTCTGGAGCAGGCTGAGACTCCTGATGACCAAAGGTGGCCTTGCCTTATTCCGTGCCAGTGTGGACAGTGGCGATTTGTCCAAGACCCCCTTTTTGGGAAGAGCCTTGTGGTGCTGCTTTTGGCCTGCAGGCTTCGTCGGGGAGCTGGGAGCTCCATTCACCCAGGACAGCTTCTGTTTCTTCTTCTGCAGTTTTGGAAACTTGGCAGGGGTGTTGGGGCTCAGGGTGGGAGTGCCAGGGGCTGGGCCCTTGGTGGTGGGTGTCCCATTGGCCTGGGCCGGGACCTTGGCCTTCATCCTTTTCCTCTTCCTGCCTGTGCCGGGGGGCTGGCTCCCGCCGGTGGCTGCAGGCATGTCGTCCTCCGACCTGTGTTTCTTGCGCTTCTTTGTCTCTGGCAAGAATCCCTTTTTCTTCCGCTTCCTGCTGATGGGGCCCTGGGTGGCACTGGGGATCTCCTTGGGATTCTTCTCCAACTTGGGGCGCCTGAAGGGGAGTGAGAAGGTAGGAAGGTGCCCAGTGAGGGTAGCAGCCACCTCCACTCGGGTCCTGTGGGGTCCCAGAGGCCCAGGGCTCCCACATCTGAGCATGCACAGCAGTGTGAGGGTGATCCTAGCCCTGCCCAAGTGTGCATCCCCCTGCCCAGAACCTACTGGACTCCCAGGGTTTTCATGGCCTGCCAGTAGAGGTCGAGCAGGCGGCTGGAGCCGGTGGAGTGCACCCCCTGCTGCAGGCCCTGCTGCTGCCCCTGCAGCACGCCCAGGAGCACTGTCAGGTCCAAGGTCAGCTTCTGCAGAGGGTGGGAAGGCAGAGTGGTGGTGGCCACAGGGGGCAAGCCTTTGGGGCTCCTGATGGTCTTCCCAACTTGGCCCCGTTGCTGTCTCACCAGCGACCCCTGCACTCTCCTGGGCCTCAGCCTCTCCTGCCTGTTAAGGTGTCCGTGTCTGTCTCACCATTGGAGGAAACACGTGCCCAGGTGTTGGTTCTCCTCCTCCCCACAGCCGCAGGCCTGGTCTCAGAGTCTCCGCTGTGGCCCTGGCACGCCCACCTCCAGGAGGGCCATCCCCGCCACTCGATCACCGTGGGGCTGCCACGCTGCCCCCCAGCCTCGCTGCACGTCCTGAATGGTTTACTGTTGGAATCCCCTGGCTTCCAGGAGCCCCGCTCTCCTGGCTTCCTCGCTATCACCCAGTTTTGCAAGGCCCCATCTTGGGCCCCACCTCTGCCCACTGGCGCAGCCTTGGCAAGCTCTCCCTCCGTAAGGGCTGACTGGCACCTATGCTGAGGCCTCCCAAACCTTGCCCTGTGGGCCAGACTAGGGGACTGAGATGGCTACCTACAGCTGCCTCCTGGCCCTGCCCTGTGGCTACCCAACATGTCACATTCTACCCGTCCACACCCTGCACCAGGCCTGGAAACATGGCCTCCCTAATGTATGTCCACCCCGAGTCTTCTCCCACCCTTCACCGTCTCCAGCCCTGCCAACCCCTTCTCAGCTTTCTCACTGGACACGGCAGTGCCACACCCTTGCACCCCACCCTGCAGGACAGGGTGGCACAGTCCCTTCCCTAGTCACTTGCCCATCCATGGCTTTGTAACTGCCCAAATGACAGCCCAGAGCCTCAACCAAGGCACTGAGAACCTTCCCCACATGACCCCCCCCAACCCCACCGAGGTCTGGCCCAGGGAATGGCACTGCTGCCCGGGAGGCCCGGAGGCCCCCAGGAGGAACCTGACATTGTCCTGGGCTGGGCCCCGCCTCACCTCATGTTTGCAGGTCCTGAAGACAGTATTGAGCAGCTCCAGGGAGGACAGAGCCTGCTGGTGCTCTGCTTTGGTCTGCACCTCCCCCAGTGTGCGCAGGTTCTGGGGAGAGGTGGCCAGGCTGAGGTACTTCGGAGGGCTGTCAAAGCCTTTGTTTCCCAGCAGGGACTAAAGCCCAGAGGCAGGGACCGTCTCTTGAGACAATCCCAATTCCCTGTCCCCCACCCCCCACACTCCGGGAGGCTCAGGCTCCAATCCTGGCTTGTTCTCTCCCAGAGAACCGATTGGAGCAGGCAGGGAGGAGGGGCGCCCTCTGGCTGTTACCTCCGTGACCTTTGTCAGGACCTGGCCGATCAGCTGCTTCCACTCGGGGTCCTGGAAGCACAACCTCACCTCCCGCATGGACAGGGTCTTCTGGAGCAGCAGGCAGGCTTGTGCCTGTGGTTGGGTGAAGGTGGGTGCCTGGAGCCTCAGCACGTTGGGTACGAGATGCTGAGGGGAGCAAGGGGACCTGCCAGACATGGCTGTGGGTGGCGTACGAGGCCACCTGCTGCTCTGGGCTCCGTGACCACCTGCTCTCGTGCCTTCATGTACAGGTGGGGGCACCGAGGCCTCCCATCTGGATAGAGGTGGGACCTCAGGTGGGACAATTCCTACTGATTCCTGGCTAATGTCATCTTCATTCAGTCTGCCCCCAGCAGCCCTGGCACCTGAGCAGACACTACTGGGGTGTCCTCTGTGTGGCAGGATGGGCAGTGGTGGCTGCAGGAGTGAGACCAGCCCACCCCATCAGCACCTCGGTGCTCACGGTGTGGCAGGGACAGCTGCGCCCATGTTGACCAGGGCAGTGCTCTGGGGCCTCAGAAGCGGGTTAAGCAGGTTAATTCACACAGGCCCTAGGCTGGGAGCTGGGAAGTCTCTTACCTGCTGGCGGGGCCGCCCTGGGCCTGTGACTCGCTGGACCAGAATGGGGAGCAGGCTCTTACAGAGCACCTGGTGGGAGGGGAGGGCTGTGAGGCACAGGTGGGGCTGGGGCTGAGAGGGGACCCCAAGTGGGCAGGGTGGGCCCTGACACTCACCGGGTGCCGGGAGAAGAGGCTGAGGAACATGGGGACCGTGAGGGGACTGTGGCGCTTGGTCAGGAAGGAGCTCAGTGCTGACGAGTAGATGCGTATCGTAAGGTTCAAGTCAAGACAGCCGGCAGCCTAGGCCAGGTGAGAGAGCTGGCTGAGGCCAGGAGAGGGACTCTGGGATGGGAGCAGAGACTGGGCTAGCTTCGAATGGCGGAGGGGTGGGTCCTGGAGAAATGTGAAGTGTGTGGGCTCCGCCTGGGCCAGGCCCTGCTCACCTGCAGGCCCTCGGTTGAAGGGCTGGGGTCGGTGCCAGCCTCCAGCACCTCCTGTGTCTCGTGCACGTGACCCTTTGCAGTGCCACCCTTCAAGACTCGGAGCAGGTAGAGGGAGGCGTTGAAGTGGTAAAGGGCAGTGGAGGAGTCGGGCTGGCGGCCAGCCTGCTCCACCAGCCGTGCCACCTGGCCATGCAGGGCCTCGACGCGGTCACCCAAGTCATGACAGTAGCGACGGCCACGGCACAGGTGGTGCCTGCAGGTGGTGAGGACAAGAGCTGGTCAGAACAGTTTCGGTCTACCCCGCTCTGCCAAGCAGCGCCAAGTCCCACTTTACAGGTGAGGAAACAGACCTGGAAGACGGACGTGACCGAGGCCACAAAGGAAGGCAGGGCCGCCTGCAGGTTGCTTGGGAGCTATGTGGGCTCAGCGTGCTTGGGCAAGGGGGCACCCCGGGGCGGTAACAGAACAGTTCCCCAAGTGCGGGCTGCACCAGGGCCAACCACCCACCTGGTGCACCTCTCCTGTCCATACTCATCCCTTGTGGGGAAGTGGCCTCCAGGCCTTTTGTAAAGCGAGGCAAGGGTTCTGCGCTCAGAACCCTATGTGGCCCTGCAGGGCCAGGACAGAGTGGGGACAAGAGGTAGGATGCTCAATGAGCGACACTGTCCAGGCACGCTGGCAGAACTATCTGAGAAGGTGTGGCCTGGGGTTGAATGGAGGATGACTGCCAGTCACACCCCCCGCCCTGCAGACCATCTGCTCAGTGCCCCGGGGCCCAGGGCTTCAACTACCCAGCACCTGAGCCCAGAAGGCAGGTCTGCACATGGCTGGCACCTGCCTGGCTCTCCCCTGCCTGCCATCACCTCCCTGCTAGGCCTGCCTCCAACACAGCCTGCCCAAAGCCTTCTCCACGCCGCCAGCCATTTCCAAAAAGGGAAACCAGACCCAAAGCCTTCCCTATGCCAATGCTCCTGCTGAAAATGCCTCTGCGGCCCCAGCCCCACTAGGGTCAGGCCTGCGAGGGTACAGGGGCCTGTGGCCTCATGCCTCACCTGACCTCCCAGCTGGATGTCTGACTGCCTCCCATCGGGAGACTCTTTCCTCTTTCTGCACTCCCCAAGGCCTCCCAACCTGACAAACTCCCATGTACACTGCACCTCCGAGGACTTGGTGGGTATCCCCTGCCACAGGTGCTGCCACTGTCCCCACCCACCCCCCACACAGCCCCACTGGAGACCATCAGGGGCTGGGATGGAACCCAACCCCAGGGCACCACTCGCATGTGTCAGGAGAACACAGGGATGGACCAAGGACCGTGTGAGTCACTGAGTGACATGTGACCTAGGGCTGAGTGGTGAGCCTGCAAGCTAGGGCCCCAGCTGGAAGCTTGGCTCTCTCTTTCCTGTACAGAAAGCAAGCCAGGAGTTCTGCCTGGGGGCTGGGGGCTGGGGTCTGCTGGCGGCACCCACCCGCCTTGCCCCTGCGCTCACGTGAAGATGCGCGCCGTCTTGTGCAGCAGGTCCTGCTCCTGCTTGGAGCTGCTGCTGCGCAGGCTGCGCCGGATGATGCCCAGCAGTGGCTCCAACAGCTCCAGGACCAGGACGTTCTCAGGCTGCTTAGTCACCAGCACCTCCACCAGGTCCAGCACCTGTGGCCAGGAGAGCTGGTCAGCAAGGTGGGGGCAGGGCACGGGGGTGGGTGGTGATGGAGGCGGTGGAGGTGCTGGCCCCCAGGCTCACCCGAATCTGAAAGTCGCGCCGCAGCGCCTTCTCCTTCTGCAGCTTGCTCTTCTCATCTCGCCGGGCCTGGATCCGCAGCTTCTGCTCAGCAAAGAGGCTGGCAAGGCTCTGGTCCAGGGCCATCATGGCCTCGTCTCCCAGCTCCTCCTCATCCTCGCTCTCCTCTCCACTCTGAGGGACAGAGGCCCAGTGGTCAGCCTGGCCTCGGGCGGGTGGGCACACAACATGGGGAATCAAGAGCCCTCCCTGGCCCTGCTCACCAGCGCCTTCCCAGCCTGTAGCACACTCATCAGCTGCTCCCGGAAGCCCTGGTCCACGTCCCTGTCACGCTCCTCCTCCTCGCTCTCCCCCCCATCACTCTGGTCTTCGCTTTCTGAGCCTCTGTTCTCCTCGCCGTCTTCACTCTTGTCCTGTGGGGTGGGGGCAGGCTTATCACACACCTCTACGATCTTCCCACTCCCGCCACCCCGCCTGGCCCTCGCTGGCAGCACCTCTGCAGCCTTCAGCCACCGCTCGTCAGACTCGTCCGTCACCACCACATGGTCATCCACATCCTCACTGGTCTCCGGGCTCAGTACCTGGGGAGGAGACCCAGCCACTGACCCATCTGCGGCCCCCACCCTCCTGACCAGGCCCCACCCAGCCTTGGCCAAAGGTCCCCATTTCAGGGAAGAAAACAGAGCCTAAGAGAGGTGGCTACACCCTGCAAGGCCAGGATAGGGCCTCATCGAGACCCCTCCCACCAGGTGCAAGCTGACAGGAAGGAGGCTAGGAGGCCATAGGCTGAAGCGCTCCCCCACCCGATGCAGCTCCCTGCTCAGTGAGCCCCAGCCCAAGGTGCATTCCCAAAGGTCCCAACTCACATCTAGAATCAGCTGTAGGGCACGTGGGGTCAGGTGGGAGCAGACGTGGCCGAACACGCTCCGGGCCACTTGACGCATGAGGTGGCTGGGCTGGGCCAGCAGGGCCAGCAGGATCTCCACCAGCACCTCTACCCATGGGAGCTCCTGGGGATCTGCAAGAGGGGGGATTGAGCCCAGGCAGGGGACCGTTGGCCTCACTGTGCCACTCCAGTCCCTCTTGTGCCCAAGTCCCAGTAGCAAGGACCCACCGATGACCTTGGTGCGGCTCCCGCGGCACCTCTCTCCCAGGCTCTTTCTGATGCAGGTCTGGATGTCACCCAGCAGGTCACAGCTCTCTGTAGGGGACTGGGGACAGGGTAGAACACACACTGGGGACAGCCTTTCTGAACCAGGCAAGGGGCTGGCAAAAGGAAGCAGTGGCACCAGAAGCCTTCAACAGCCCAGCCACTGGCCTGCCCCGGCCAGCCCCCCACCGCAATCCAGCATGGAAGACCTCAGCTGGACCCCAGAATACCAAGGGCTGAGGGCCTTTTTACACCAATACGCAGTTACAGGATCTGAAAACCTGCAGGGGACAGACAAGGAGGCCAGCTCCCACTTTGACACTCAAGACAGGCAAAGCTGACAAGGATGGTCAGGGTCCCAGGGCAGCCAGCAAACCCCAGTCCCCAATTCATAATTCTAGATTATTTCCTCCGTGCTTGGCTTGGCATGAGACAGAATTGAAAGTCATTAGTTTCAACTAATTTAATCATATCTGAACTCATCTGATGGGATAGCCCCGGACTCCAGGGATGTGCATGTGCAGGGCATCTTGACAACTGTGTGATCTTTGGTACCTAAAAGGCAGACTTTCCCTTCACAACGAAACGTTTAGGCCAGGGTGGGAAAAGCAGCCCAAAGCCCTGGTCACTGCCCCTGGCTCCCAGGCTGTGTGCAGTGCAGGTCCCTGACTTCCGGGCCGTACCTTTTTAATTTATTCATTTTTTCTGAGAGAGTCTTGCTCTGTCACTCAGGCTAGAGTGCAGTGGTGCAATCTCAGCTCACTGCAACCTCCGCCTCCCGGCTTCAAGTGATTTTCTTGCCTCAGCCTCCCGAGTAGCTGGGATTACAGGCGCCTGCCGCCACGCCAGGCTAATTTTTGTATTTTAGTAGAGATGGGGTTCAGCATGTTGTCCAGGCTGGTCTCAAACTCCTGACCTCAGGTGAATCGCCTGCCTTGGCCTCCCAAACTGCTGGGATGACAGGTGTGAGCCCCACACCCAGCCACAGCTGCACCTTTTATCTGAAGATGGGCACAGCAAACTGCAGCCTTCTCTGTGCAAGCCAAGACCAGAGAGCCCAAGGTTGCAGGCTCCACGTGTGTCCTGGAATCAGCAGGGCTCCGTTGCTATCAAAGTCTGATGCCAACACTCAGAAGGGGCATCACGGCAACCTTTACCCACATAGCTCATCCACAGGCTGGGCTCAGAATAACCAAAGTTGGCAAATAAAACCACCACAGCCAAGTGGCCAGACCGGCAAGTGAGAGACCCATCTACTCAGGCTACATAAGACCACCAGCCTCGATAAGAGCCTCCCTTGTTGTGAGAAGAAAACTCTCTAAGAATCAGGGTAAGAGCAGACGCAGTGGCTCACACCTGTAATCCCAGCACTTTGGGAGGCCAAGGTGGGCGGATCACCTGAGGTCAGGAGTTCAAAACCAGCCTGGCCAACATGGCGAAACCCTGTCACTACTCAAAATACAAAAATTACCCAGGCGCGGTGGCAGGCACCTGTAATCCCAGGTACTCGGGAGGCTGAGGCAGGAAAATCGCTTGAAGCTGAGAGGCGGTGCTTGCAATGAGCCAAGATCACGCCACTGCATTCCAGCTTGGGAAACAGAACAAGACTCCATCTCAAAAAACAAACAGATGGCTGGGCGCAGTGGCTCACATCTGTAACCCCAGGACTTTGGGAGGCCGAGGCGGGCAGATCATGAGGTCAAGAGATTGAGACCATCCTGGCCAATGTGGTGAAACCCCATCTCTACTAAAAATACAAAAAAATTAGCTGGGCGTGGTGGCGCACGCCTGTAGTCCCAGGTACTGGGGAGGCTGAGGCAGGGGAATTGCTTGAATCCGAGAGGCGGAGGTTGCAGTGAGCTGAGGGTGCGCCACTGCACTCCAGCCTGGTGCCTGGTGCCTGAGTAAGGCTCTGTCTCAAAACAAAAAACAAACAAAAAAGGAATCAGGTGAGTGTTGAATGTGGTCAGGGCTTCCTGATGGGAAGAACTGAGAGGGAGACCCTGTGGTTCTAGAGAACCCGTGGCCAGAAGGTGTTCCCACAGCCAGAAGGTACAGTGCAAGCTACTCTGCCTCTGAGTCTCAGTTTCCCCATGTCAAACATGGAGAAGTAGAGTCTGCCTCAAGTTGTGGGGATTAAGAAGGCCTGCCTGGAAAGCTCAGGACACCAGCTGGTGCCTGCTAAGGGGCCGGAGTGATGTTTCCTTGGTGATAATTCCACTCATGTTGAGGCTGGCTTAGGAAACCTCCCAACATAACTCCCCAAGCCTTTCCTGGCTCCCCCCCATAGCCCTCATAGCCACAGGACCCCAGGCTCATGGCCCCTCCGTCCCAGGCCACAGTACCTTGAAGAGGTGGATGCCCACGAGCAGCAGAAGGTGCTGGAAGGCAGCAGCCCTGGGCTCTGAGGAGGGGGCCTCCAGCTCCTTCAGAGTCTGAAGCATCCTGCAGGGAGCCAGGCAGATCCCTCAGACCCCGGCTGCCATCAGACCACAGGGTCCTGCCAACCCCCCCCCCCCCGGAAATCCCACCCGCTCACCGGTCCCAGGCCTGGCACTGCTGTGCAGTGAGGGGTGTCACAAGGCTCACGCTGTGGCTGTGGTTCAGCAGCAAGTCTGCAAACTGTACCAGGCGGTAGGTCCAGGGCTGCCCGCCCCGGGTCTGCTCTGGTGCCAGCTTAAACTGCGTGCTGAGGGTCTGCAGCAGACTGGGCGATGGGCAGGGCTTGGTCACCAGACCGATAAGTGAATACAGCCACCTCCCTCCGCCCTCCCCAGGGCTCGGTCTCCCACCTCTCCAGGACCTGCTAGAACTCCCTGGGCCTCGGCCGTTGTCCCCAGCGTAGGGGAACTGCAGGGAGCAGGCGTCCTGAAGACCTTCCCACTTTCGGACCTCTCCTGAGCCGCCCCAGGCTCACCTGAAGAAGGCGCTGCTGACGGCCTCTCGGGCCTGGCTTTCCAAAGGGAAGGAGAGCTGCTGCCTTGTCTCCGGGATCTGGGATGTGGGCTTCTTTGTGACGAAGAACGAGTGGAACAAACAAAACCTGGGGCAGGCGGGAGAGCAGCTGGTGCCGTTCACGGCCATTTGTTTCCACGGGCTCCCCTCCCCTGGTGGCACCACCCAGGGTTCAAGAACAGGAGGAGGAGGGGGGCCCTTCTGTCCCCTTCTGCTCTGGGTACAGTCCTCAGGGCCCTCACGGGCAAGGCTGGAGGTGGCTGGGCCAGGAAGGGCTGAATCCCCAGCTGAACATGGCTCAACCTGAGCTAGGGAGAGAGAATCAGTGCCCCTCTCAAGGAACCAAGAGATGTGAGGCTGTGTGGTCACGGCCGAGTCACGCCACTGCTCCTGCAAACATGGGGCCAGTGCAGCCCCCTCCTGCAACCGGGCATGCTGAAGGCGAGGTGAGCACCTGGCTCTGCTCGGGCACAGACGAGGCATTCCCTGGGCAAAGGCTCCCTGCAGGGCATGCACAGCACACCCAAACCTCTTAGGTGCCTGCAGCTGGGGTACCTCCTGGGTCCCCTCCCTACAGGCTCCTGAGGAATTTCCAAGTCCCCTTGTGCCTGCTCCCCACTGATGACTCAACCCAAAGGTTTCTGGCTCCAGAGGACACAAATCAGGACGAGTTGAGGGGCTCAATTCCTTGACCACATGCCTGCAGGAAGCTCCAGCACCTCTCATACCTGGCCACCTCCTCCGTCAAGGCCTCCTCCATCTCCAGGTACAGGTTGTCCACAAGGCTCACCAGTCGAAGGATGATCCATTTCCGCAGCCGGAACACAGCTCGCTTAGGCCTGGGGTGCAGGGGCGAGGTCATGTGAGCCACTTAGAACTGGCAAAAGCAGGCTGGGCCCAGTGGCTCACACCTGTAATCCCAGCACTTTTGGAGGCCGAGGCAGGTGGATAGCTTGTGGTCACAGGAGTTCGAGACCAGCCTGGCCAACATGATAAAACCCCATCTCCACAATAAATACAAAAATTAAGGCCGGGTGCGGTGGCTCACGCCTGTAATCCCAGCATTTTGGGAGGCCGAGGTGGGCGGATCACCTGATGTTGAGAGTTCAACACTAGCCTGACCAAGATGGAGAAACCCCATCTCTACTAAAAATACAAAAAATTAGCTGGGTGTGGTGGCACAGGCCTATAATTTCAGCTACTTGGGAGGCTAAGGCAGGAGAATCACTTGAACCTGGGAGGCAGAGGTTGCAGTGAGCTGAGATTGTGCCATTGTACTCCAGCCTGGGCAACAAGAGGGAAACTCCATCTCAAAAAACAAAAGGTAGCTGGGCATGGTGATGGGTGCCTGTAGTCCCAGCTACTGGAGAGGCTGAGGCAGAGAGTCGCTTGATCGCTTGAACCTGGGAGGCAGAATTTGCAGTGAGCTGAGATTACATGCCACAGCACTCCAGCTTAGGCCAGAGTGAGACTGTATCAAAAAAAAAAAAAAAAAAAAAAAAAAAAAAAAAAAAAAAAAAAGAACGAACTAGCAGAAACATGACATTCCTTTAACTGATCTCAAGAGACAGAAAACCAAGCTCTCCCCTTCCCAATTGCCAGTGCAGGACCTCACAAGGAAACCAAGGTCTCGTTTGAGAGCTATGGTGCTTCCCCTCTCTCTGCTCATGGTTTAGAGCCAGGACACCGAGGGCGGGGGTGGGGGGTGGGGGTGGCGGGATCGCTGGGCTCTGCAGGCTAGGGAAGCTAACTCCTGAAGGACAGGTCCTTTGCACGGTCCACTCACATGTGCTGTGATGCATCCTGAGCTTTCTTCGGGTTGTCGGTGCTTAAGTCAATCAAGGAGTCCAGGTCCGGCTGGAGAAACATGCCCTGCAGCCAGGCCACATAGCCCTGCAAGGCCTGAGGGCTCAGGAACCGCACGACCCGCCAGAAGGTAGGCACCACTGGGAGGCCGTGGTTGGTGGCGGAGGAGAAGGCCACCAGCACAGCCAGCTGCCGCTCAGGGTCGTCCCGGCATCCCTCTAGGAAGGTGCCCACGTACTCCTCCATCTCCGTGGCGAACTTGAACTGGTCTGGGAGCTATAAGAGTTAGGCACGGCACTGAGCCCATAAGCTTGCGGCCTTTAGGGTTAAACCGAGGCCCAGGGTCTCCCCTTGCACACAGCAGGGCTGAGCCTGAGCTTGCTCCATTCCTGGTCACGCCAGTGCTTCTGTCTGGCGTCAAGGCCTCCCCGGGTCTGACTTCCCCAGCTTCAGTGCCTTTGGCCCCAGAAGGTCCCTCTCGCCACATTGCTGGGTGGGGATGGCCCGTTTTCCTGGCTCAACGCACAGGCAGAGCCGTGGTTAAGAGGCTAGGCTGACCCGGGTTCAAGGCCTATGCCGCCAATTCCTCGCTGTGTCATCTTCGGGACCTACCCAACCACCTCTCACGTGCTGCCTAGGTGCCAGGACCCGTGCTCCACGTTTTGTCTGGCAGCTCAGCATCTTAGCAACCCTTTGCACTTGGCCATTACTGCCATTGTGTAGGTGAGTAAAGTGAGGCACAAAAACGTAGAATAAAACTTCTCAGGGTCAGAGGGCTCCCAGTGGGACCACGTCTTGCCTCACAGCCCAAGCTCTTCTCATTGTAATTTTCTCCAGTTGTGCCCCAGGAGTGCAGTGCCATGATCATGGCTCACTGCAGCCTCGAAATCCTGGGTTCACGTGATCCTCCCACCTCAGCCTCCTAAGTAACTGGGACTACAGCTGCACACCACTGTCCAACGCAGGCTCTAAATCACTGCCTGATGCTTCAAGTCTGCCCCCACCCAGAATGACAGCTCTTGGAAACTTGCTGCAAAGATAAAATGAGCTGCTGAGAACAGTAAACCCAGCAGTGCTGACTGGGCACCAGGCACACCGGTGCTTAAACACGGTCACGATGACTGTTCTCATCACCGCAACATGGGCGGGGGTGGAGGGAGGTCTGGCTCAAGTGGGGGCCCGCTCCTTTTCAAAACTGTCAGAGGGAAGCCGGGCGCAGTGGCTCACATCTGTAATCCCAGCACTTTGGGAGGCCGAGGCGGGTGAATCATCTGAAGTCAGGAGTTTGAGACCAGCCTGGCCAACATGGCAAAACCCTGTCTCTACTGAAAATACAAAAATTTGCTGGGTGTGGAGGTGGGCACCTGTAATCCCAGCTCCTCAGGAGGCTGAGGCACGATAATTGCTTGAACCCGGGAGGCGGAAGTTGCAGTGAGCACAGATTGCATCACTGCCCTCCAGCCTGGGCAACAAGAGAAAACTCCAACTCAAAACAATCTGTCAGAGGGGAAGGGGTTCAGACAGCTCAGACAGTGGACACGCCCAGGTCTCTGGCCAGGCCCTGAGGTGCCCTCTCCCCTTCTTGGCAAGGAGAGCCCCTGCCCACCTTGGCTGTGCACGTGTGCTCCCCGTAATGGCGGATCACGTCTCCCCGCATCACCAGCTGCAGCTGTTCCTTGGTCAGCAGGGGAAGGGCGGCGCCCAGCAGGCGGAAACACAGGTAGCTAAGAGGGAGTGTGGGACAGAGCATGGTCAGAGCCCTTGGTCCCCCGGCAGGGACATCAGGACTGGCGGCCCAGCCCCACTTCACAGACAGGGAAGGGGGCTGAGAGAGGCCACGTGCCACACGCACCTGGCTGGCCAGAACTGCAGCTTCAGCAGCCCCTGTTCCACCACCCCCTTCCAGAACCGCAGAAACTCGTTTTCCTTGAGTGCCAGGTGGAGCAGCTCCAGAGCGACAGTGGGCAGCTTGCGTTCCTTCTTCACGGAGGACGCTGCCATCTTTAGCACGTTCACCAGCCTGTGGGGGGCAGACGACTCAGGGAACGCTTGCCTTACCAGCAAGGGCCAGGGTGCCAAGAGCAGCCGGGGCACTTCCAGGCCACACGGCCAATCTGGGCTTGGCCAGATGCAGTCTTATGGCCCCAGAGAGAGCAAATTCATCCACCTCCCTCACACCTGGGAACATTCTCATCCGAAAATAGGTTGATGGATCCCACCAGCTTCTTGAGCCTAGAGGGCACCTTCTGCTGGGCCAGGAGGAAGAGCCCCAGCTGTTCAGGGCAGCTGAACATGGCATCCAAGTCAGTGCTGAGGACCTCTGGCAGCATCTCCTCCAATGTGGCCTCCGAGACCTAAGGGTGGAGAGGTAAGAAATGGTGGCTTCCTCTGCCGGGTGAGCCCAGTGAGGCCTCTTTTACCTGCCAGGCACCAGAGTCATCAGAGACCATTTGCTAAAATACTCAAATTCCTAGGCAGCTAGGTTTTTTGACAAGCACCCTGCTGATGCTAACTGGCCCGGAACTACCTGCCCTTTTTTTTTTTTTTTTTTTTTTGAGACAGAGTCTTGCTTTGCCACCCACGCTAAGTGCAGTGGTGTGATCTCAGCTCACTGTAACCTCCACCTGCCTGGTTCCAGCGATTCCCCTACCTCAGCTGGGATTACAGGTGTGCAACTCCATGCCCAGCTAATTTTTGTATTTTTGGTAGAGATGGGGTTTCACCATATTGGCCAGGCTGGTCTCGAATTTCTGACCTCAAGTGATCTACCCACCTCAGCCTTACAAAGTTCTGGGATTAAAGTTGTGGGCCATGGCACCTGGCCAGAGCTACCCATTACTCATTCCTGGTTTTGGGATTTCAGAGGACTAGCCCATTTTATACACAAGGGGCCCTAGGTAGACAGCTGGGATTTGAATTCAGGTCCTTTTGGCGCTGAGGTCAAGACTCCTTGGTATGCCCTGGTCTGGGACTTGCCAGCCCCTGCCTTTCTCTTCAGTGGCAAAAAGGCATAGGTATACCTTCCCAAGTTGGGCAGTGGAGGCCCACGAGGGACCAGCCTTGACCAGGACGGCAACAGCAAACGTTTTATATACCTGCCACGTGTCAGGTTCAGTTCTAGAGCGGCACTAGCCACATGGGGTTGCTGAGCGCCTGAAAGGCGGCAAATCTGAACAGGGATGTGCCGTGTAAAATACACGCTGGATTTTGAAACACACTGAAAAAAAGAGTGAAGATACCTCAACGATTTTTTTTTTTTTTGAGACAGTCTCATATTGTCACCTGGGCTGAAGTGCAATGGTGCGATCTTAACTCACTACAACCTCTGCCTCCCTGGTTCAAGTGATTCTCCTGCCTCAGCCTCCTGAGTAGCTGGGACTTCAGGTGCCTGCCACCATGCCTGGCTAATTTTTTGTATTTTTAGTAGAGGCAGAGTTTCACCATGTTGGCCAGGCTGGTCTCAAACTCCTGACCTTGTGATTGACCCACCTCACCCTCCCAAAGTGCTGGGATTACAGGTATGAGGCACTGTGCCCGGCCAGCTCAACAGTTTTGTATACAAATGCATATTGAAATAATATTTTAGATATACTAAATGATGTAAAATGTTACTAATGACATCTGTTTCTTTTTACCTTTTTTTTTTTTTTTTTTGTGAGACAGAGTTTTGCTCTTATATGGCTTGGGCTGGCTGGAGTGCAATGGCGTGATCTTGGCTCACTGCAACCTCCAACTCCTGGGTTCTAACGATTCTCTTGCCTCGGCCTCCCAAGTAGCTGGGATTACAGGCATACGCCACCATGCCTGGCTAATTTTTTCTATTTTTAGTAGAGATAGGGTTTCTCCATGTTGGTCAGGCTGGTCTCAAACTCCCGACTTCAGGTGATCCGCCCACCTCCCAAAGTACTGAGATTACAGGCATGAGCCACCATGCCCAGCCTCTTTTTACCTTTTCAACAAAGTCACTGAAACACCTCAAATTATATGCCTTTATATTTCTATGGAACAGTGCTGTTCCTGATTCTCATCTGAGCCCTCTTGATGTCTCTGTAGCGGGAAGTGTCTCCAGAACCCGCAAGGCTGGTGAGCTCATACCTCGGAGAGAATGTCCACCAGGGCCTTCCAGGGCTGCTCCTGCAAATGGTTCTGGTACTGGGCCAGGGCCTGCAGCAGCTTCACTGACTTCCTCAGTGCCTCCTGGTCCTGGTCCTCACAGAGGGGTAGAGGGTATGAGCAGGGACTGCTACTGTCCCCCACCCATCCAAGGCCAGCCTACATCCCCTGGCCCTCCCAAAGTTCTCACCTTCACCAGCCGGCCTGACTGAAAGAGGGCGAGCACTCCGAACAGGTTTGCAAAGAGAGCAGGTCTCACCATTGACTAGAAGAGGATTCCAGGCACAGCATGAGGGGCCGTGGGACTTCCCACCCCCAGCCTCTCACCCCCGGGGCTGCTGACCTCCCCAGGCCCACTCTCACCTTCTTCACCTGATGCAGGTCATATTTTTCTTGCATCTGCTGCAGGATGCTGCACAAAGGGAGGTCTTCAAAAGACTGTAACAGCTGCCAGGAGGAACAGGGGCTCAGGAAGTGGCCCAGTACATCCTCACACCTCAACCTCCCTTCCTCCTTCAACTCCTCCCAAGAAGCCTCAGGTGCCTAGTCGCACCCCAAGAATGCCTCTGAAGCTGCTCTCAGGGAAACGAATCTTGCCTCCCTGCCACATCTCCACTCCTGTGGGCTTCCAAAGTACCGTCTGCAAGTGGTTCTGGGATTGGGACTGGACTGGGACGGGGCCAGGGCAGTTTTTTTTTTTTGAGATGGAGTCTTGCTTCATTGCCCAGACTGGAGTGCAGTGTTGTGTTCTCAGCTCACTGCAACCTCCACCTCTCAGGCTCAAGCAATTCTTCTGCCTCAGCACGCACAGTAGCTGGGGATTACAGGTGTGCACCACCAGCTAATTTTTGTATTTTTAGTACAAATGGGGTTTCAACCTGTTGGCCAGACTGGTCTCGAACTCCTGACCTTAGGTGATCCACCCGCCTCATCCTCCCAAAGTGCTGGGATTACAGGTGTGTGCCACTACCGCTCCCAGCCACAAAAGTACCTTCTACAGCCCCTAGATTGCTCTGCTGAAATTCTCAGCCACTGGGTCTTCTCTCCACAGCCTGGTCTGAGCTCCACTCAGGCTGATCCGGCGAGCCTGCGTCTTAACTGCTCTTCCCCTTGTCAGGGCTCCTCAGAGAGTGGGCTACTCCAATCAGCTGAATGCCCCCTAAGGGAGCCCACCCCACCCAGCGCTCACTGCTCCCAGCAAGTGTACCTAAGAGTCCGGGTAACCCAAGCACCAGAAAGAAAACCTGCTCCGCTCTCCACTCCCTCTGCCTGGACTGCTTTGGAGACAGGCCCTGCTTATGCTTTCTCCACCTTCCTGTGAGGAGGCTCCCTCAGACTGGCCTCCAATCAGCTTACACTTCTCTCCGGGCTGCCCCTCCGCCGCGCTGAGACACCCGCCCTCCGCACACCCCACCGTTTTCACCTGCGTGGCTGGGATCCTGCCAGGAACACCACCTCACCTGGGCCAGGGCCAAACTGTAGCAGGGCCGGGCTGTTTCTCGCCCGACCCCGAGTCCCGTGATGAGCCGCTTCAGGGCGTATTTCATCTCGGACCCCTGCGGAACCAAGCGCATGCTCGCGTTGAACGGTGACAAGAAGCTGCACACCCCCGCGCACCTTGGCATCCAGGTTCGCGACCACTTGCCCCCATCCCAAATCCCTGGGCCCGCCGCCGCTTCCTTGCGGGAAGTGCGCGGCCCCTGCCCCAAACCCGCCGCCCCACCTTCGGCCTAGCGCGCAGATACTCCAGCAGCTTCTCCGTGGCCGCAAGTCGCGTCTCCTGCTCAGGCTTCACAATGTCCCAGAAGAAGTCCAAGAACTCGCGGCTGTGTTTCAACAGGCCGTGGCGGTCCGCAGGCCGGGCGCTGTTCTGTGTCGCGTCTCCGGACGACAGGGGCTCGGCGGGTTCCCGGCTCCCCATCTCCGCGACACTCATCCAAACACGTGTGCCCGGGATCCAGCCGCTTCCAGGTCAGGGCCAGGCGCATGCGCACTGGTTTTTTGAGTTGGCTCGGAGAGGGACCTGGGAGGGGCGGGGCAGGGGGCGGGGGACCCAGGAAGGGCGGCATTTCCGCCCTCGCTCTCAGCGGAAGTTCCTCGCTGCGCCGCGCGCGGTGGCTCCAGCCTTACGCTCGTGCCCGCTCTGCCCCGGTGGCTGGGGCATCTGCCCCTTTGGAGCCCCAAGGGGCGGTTTCTGAGGGTCCATCTCGGAAACAAACCGAGGTGCAGCACATCATCCGCCTCGTCCCAGGGTGGCCCTGCGCTCGGAGCCCTGAGCCATTCAACAGTTACTGGCTCCTGCTGTGCGCCGCGCTAGGCGGTTGGAACAAAGCTGCCGCTTTCGTGGAGGAAGACGGAGCTAAATACATTTAAAAAGATCGTGATTACGCCTGTAATCCCAGCACTTTGGGAGGCCGAGGCGGGTGGATCACTAGGTCAAGAGATCGAGACCATCCTGGTCAACATGGTGAAACCCCGTCTCTACTAAAAATACAAAAATTAGCTGGGCAAGGTGGCGCTTGCCTGTAATCCCAGCTACTCAGGAAGCTGAGGCAGGAGAATTGCCTGAACCCAGGAGGCGGAGGTTGCGGTGAGCCGAGATCGCGCCATTGCACTCCAGCCCGGGTAACGAGGGAAACTCCGCCTCAAAAAAAAAAAAAAAAAAAAAAAAAAAAAAAAAATCGTAATTATGAAGAGAACTGGGAATGCAGGGGTCAGAGGGAGCCTTTTCAGTGTTGGAACGTTAATACATCACCGGTTAAAAACACGAATGTGGAAAGTTGAAAAGTTCCTTTTAAAGTTTCTTTTCTTGTTAAGGAATAAGCTGCTAATAACTGTTAAGCTGTGGGTGTAAACCCGGCAAGAGCCAAAGCAAGGGCCTGAAGCCTCAGCACATTCTCATATAAATGTAGAATTAGTAAACAATCTTGCATGTTCTTCACATGTACCCCAAAACCTAAAATGTAATAAAAAAACTCAAAAAGAATTAGCGATATAGTTACATAGTTATATGTAATCATAATCATATAGCTATTCATATGTAAGCATAACTATATACAGATGTATAATCACGTAATCACATAGCTCTTCATACATAATCATATATACATGTATGTAATGGTATAATCTCTAATCTTACTAATAAGTCTCAGGAAGTATGGGACTGAAGTGGCATTGGAAAAGAGGTGACCCTAAGGCCAGATGCTCTAAGCCCTCTGTCACGCCCACATAGGGGTGTGATTTACATGACCCTTCACTGACCGTCATTACCTCATTCTACCTGCCCTTCCCCCTGCTTTGTAAGGGGGGTGAAAGAGCGTCCAGGCCTGAGAAATAAGTATGTCTGTTTTCTTTTATTTTTATATTCTTGTGGGAAGATGGCCAGTGAGAGTACCCTTCCTGTAGCTCAGGAAGTAAAAATTGCGTTGCTAAAAGATCCTTTGTTTCAGTGCCGATTTTTCTTTTCAGCTCTGAGCATCTATTTCCAACAGTGGCTAATTATCATTCAACAGAGTCTATGGTAATGATTTGAGGGGTTGGTCAGGGAAGGCCTCTGTGAGGAAGTGGCTGGCATTTGGGCTGAGAGCTGAGTGACAAGAAGCCTTCCTCACACTCCTGCAAGGATCTAAGGGGAGGAAATCCCAATCCTTGCAACTGCAAAGGCCCAGGGCTGCAGGGGCTGAGGCTGCCAAGTGGCTCAGAGAAGCAAGGTTGCATAGGGCCCCGGGCTAGGATTTCATTCTGAGTGTGGTAGGAAGTCACTGGTGAGTTTAATGCAGGGGCAGGCCTGGATCTGATTTAAATTCTCATCAGGTGATGCTGGCTGCTGTGTGGGGGATGATGGATTGCAGTTCCACACAAGTGGAAGAACAGGAAGACCAGTTAGAGACAGTGCTGGACTGGACCCAGGGAAATGAGAACAGGTCAGATTTGGGCTGATGTGGAGCAGGTGGGGTGGGTGATGGATTGGATGTGGGGGACAGGAAGTGAGGGGGGTGCCAGGTTTGGGACTAAAATAACCGAGTACATTGTTGTGCCATTATTGAGCTGGAGAAGAATTTTCTTTGGAGTGGGAGGTGGAGGTGGTGGGATCAAAGGGTCTATTAAATCAGAGGAGCCTTTTACAATGGCAGGGGAGGGAAGCACTGCTGGTCACCCTTTCTTCCTGGTTTGAGAAGCTGTTTTTAGGGGGCTGTGGTCCAGAGAGGACCTAACACTGCGAGGAGGTCCTGGCTACCCTTCACCTTGAATTTCCACCCATTTGACTCCAACTCACCCTCTCAACTGCTTCCCTGCTTTGCTGTGTGTTCTAGAAAGTGAGATTAAAACATTCGCCTCGCACATCTAGTGCCCCAGGAGGCAGGAGGTGAGCGGAGCGGGGGTGGAAGCTGAAAGATACCAACCCAGGCTCTCCCCTCTCTGTTTACTGGTCAGTTGTGCTGCCCATGAGGGAAGCCCCGACTCCAGTTGCTTCAAGGGTGATGGGAAATTAACCAAGAAGCAGGAATGGCTCTTGGCCTCTGGGAGACTTGATCTTTATTTTGTATCAGTCTGGTTGAGGAAGATAGGTAGAGGGTGCCCTGAAGGGAAGGGCAGCGATGCCAGCAGTACCCTGGGCTCTGCCTGCCCTGCTCCCTGGGGCCCAGCGCTTGCCGAGGCAGAGGCTCTGCACTCTTTCTGCTGTCCTTCCGAAAGCTGGATCTGAACTCAGTGCTTGCCCCGGGTCCTGTTGCTTTTTCCTCATTACCCTTGTATTCATTAGCTGGTAAAGGAGCCAGCGATTCCCTCAGTGTGGGTGGTTTGAAGAATGATTGTGCTAGCTCTGGATCCCACAACTCAAATCTAGCTAATGGAAAAGGCCAGAGACTGGGGGCCTGAGCCAGTAGTGAGCACATAATAGATGCACGCTCTATTTTTTAAAATGAGGTTTCACTCTTGCTGCCCTGGCTGGAGTACAGTGGTGTGATCTTGGCTCACTGCAACCTCCACCTCCCAGGTTCAACCAATTCTCCTGCCTCAGCCTCCTGATTAGCTGAGATTACAGGTGTGCGCCACCACACCCGGCTAATTTTTTTATATTTTTAGTAGAGATGGGGTTTTGCCATATTGCCCAGGCTGGTCTCAAACTCCTAGCCTCAGGTGATCCCACCGCCTCGGCCTCCCAAAGTGCTGGGATTACAGGCATGAGCTACCGCACCCGGCCACTATTATTATTATTATTATTTCAAAAGACAGGGTCTCACTATGTTGTCCAGGCTGGAGTGCAATGGTGTAATCCTAGCTTCCTGCAGCCTTGAACTCCTGGCTCAAGCAAGCTTCCTGCCTCAGCCTCCCAGGTATCTGGGCAACAGGCATCTGCCACCGCACCTGGAAAATTTAAAACTTTTTGGGACAGACAAGATCTTGCTATGCTGTCTAGGCTGGTTTCAAACTCCTGGCCTCAAGGAATCTTCCTGCCTTGACCACCCAAAGTGCTTGAGATGACAGGCGTGAGCTAGGGTACACTCCATTGCTGCTGGATCTGCTCTACTCCTGCCCCAGGCTTCAGTTAACTCTGCCTTGTGCCAGACCCACCCCCATCCTGTTAGATTCCCTGGTAGGGGCAGCAGCCATGGGGGACACTGGAGACATGCGCATGCTCTGCGTAGGCTGCCACCTGGAGCAGGATCCCTTGACTACAAGTGCTGGGCTGCTCTGTTGGTTCTTGCTGGCCCTGGTGCTGGTGCTGGGCCTGAGTTTGGGGCTCTGCCAGATGGCTGAGTATGGTGTGAGTCATGGCTCTGGCCATATCAGGGGTCCCTGAACCCACTAGCCCCAACACGTTGGCCTCTGTGTCATCCAGGAGGATGAGGGGGCAGGCCCAGGCACTAGTGGTAGACTTGGCTGTTGTGTTGCTGAGCAGAACCCCTGTGCCTGGGGACAGGTATGCAGAACCAAAGGAGCCGTTGAGCAAGGAGGTGAGAAGGAGCACAGAGCCACTGCTGTCCACGGTGGCCAGGGTGCTGCTCTCGGGGCTCACAGAAGTTTGCAAGACTGGTGGGCAGGGGTCAGGGCTGGGTGCCCCAGACCCTAGGGCTGCCTCCAGCAATGCCAGCAGCTCTGGGCCAGCTGAGGGACTGGGGGTGGTGAACAGGATGCCCTGGGCCATGGGTAGCTGCTGCGCTGGTTCCAAAGTGGGCCTGGGCCCAGCCAAGGGCACCTCTGTCCCCAGGTCTCTTGCCAGCAGACTCAGTAGTGTATCCCCAGCAAGGTCTGAGGTGGGAGCGAGGGCTGCCCTGTGAAGCACAGCTGCTAGCTGTGGGTTGGTGGCTCGGGCTCCAGCGCCCAGGGGCGTCCCATCAGGATGGCAAAGCAGTGGACAGAGGCCTTCTGTGCCCCGAGCCGCCAGGGCCCTTGCCAGGGGCTTGTCCACCAGGAAGCCATCCTGAGCCAGCGTGGTGGGGCCCACTAGCAGGCGTGGCCATGGCAGGTGGCCAAAGCGTGCATGCAGCAGGTGCAGGGTGGGCAGAGCCGTGGGCAGCGCCACTCCGGGGACCAGGGTCTGTGCTGGGCCTGATGTCAGGGCTGTGGAATTGCCCGAGGAGCTGTTGTGGAAGAGGCCCCAAAACATGGCACCTGCAGGAGACAGAGGGGTCACTCAGCAGGCATGGGTCAAGGGCCGCTGACTTGTTTCAGTCAAGATCCCTTGCCTGAGTCTGGGATCAGGAGTTACTGACCACGCCTGAGGTCAAGGTGACGCAGACCTGGCTCAGGGGGTGGGGACTGCTGCCCAAACCCTGGGTCCTGCTCATCGAGCAGCCTTGAGGTCAGGGCTACTGACTCCCTGAGGCCCAGGTCACTGATCAGGCTGTGGGCTGGGATTGCGGTCTGCGATCCGGGGTCACTGACCTAGCCCTGTGGCATGAGGATGCACCACCGCCAGGCACAAAGCGGCTCCCACGCCAGCATCCACGACGTTGCCCCCAGCAGCAAGTAGCTCTCGGCCTAGGTGGGAGCACGTGGCTGCAGCAAGGAAGGGACTGTCATACAGCAGGAGGGACTGGGCCCGGTGACCCCTGACCCTCCCTCCCCCGAGCCACTGCCAGCATGACTGACCTGCAGGGCTGATGATGGCACCATGGTGGTAAATGCCAGGGCCATGGGAGTGTCCGCCGGGTGAAGGGGCCGAGGAGCCCAGGCTTCCTGTGGGGCTGCCTTGATGCCAGAGCTGCCTCATGGCCAGGGAGCAGCCCACAGCCAGCAGCAGCAGGGCAGCCACTAGACGGGCCCAGGTTCCGGTCAGCCCACCAGCCTTGTTCCTGCAGAGGGGTGTCCTGAGCTGCGGCTGGGACAGAGGGATGCCCAGGAACCCCGAGAGTCCCCAGGGAATGTTTCCCAAAAGGTCTGATTTAGCACCAGGCATGCTGGCTCATACCTGTAATCCCAGCACTTTGGGAGGCTGAAATGGGCAGAGCACGAGGTCAGGAGATTGAGACCATCCTGGCTAACTTGGTGAAACCCTGTCTCTACTAAAAATACAAAAACATTAGCTGGGCACGGTGGCATGCACCTGTAGTCTCAGCTACTTGGGAAGCCGAGGCAGGAGAATTA